TTCCCTACTCTGTCTCTGGTGATTCCTCTCACTCTCCCATACATCTAGCCTGTACCATGGTTCTTGTATCCATGAATAAATAAATCTTAAAAAAATAATTAATTAATTAAAGACATGGGGAAAAAAATAAAGACATGGGAAAGAAATTCTCCTTTGGTTACTGACTTCTATGTCAGCATGATTTGAACAGTGGGTGTTGTGGGTAAACACTATATGCAGATTCTTAATGTTAAAATATGCTCTACAGAGCACACAAAAATCTATGTCATCTGTTCCAGTAGTACAAAATGTTATCATCATTTGAAATGTCAGTTTAATCTCAGTGATGTCAAAAAGTCTTTTCATACACAGAGGTATAAAATTTTGCATCAATAAATAATTCTCTATGCAACTTGCTTCCAATGTATCTTAATATAAATAAAATTAATTGTTCATGACATACCTGTTTATTGTCTAAAATTTGTTAATAATTAAAGAATAAAATGATATCACATAACCCACTACTGTTTTTCTTTCAAATTCTTAATATACTGTTTTATTGCTAGTTACTAGATATTATTTGATTTCATGTTCATAATATATCCTAATCTTTCCATATCCCTAAATATCTTAAGAATACTATAAGTATTGCTTTTGGTTGTTATCTACGGATGACTATAGCTATGTTCAAGTGTTCAAACATCAAAGATTCAGTTCATTTCCACATTCTCTTACTATAGTAAAAAAACATTTCAGTGTACATTTTAGTATCTACCTCTATTCCCTTTTCTAATTAACTTAGATATAGAACAACTGCTAAAAGTATATGAAAATTTTGTGGTCTTTGATATATAATGTCAAATTGCTCACCAAAGAAGGTACACAATTTCTAACTTTTTTAGCAAGATATAGCAGATCCTGTTTCCTTACTACATACTCAACAAATATACATTTTCTTAATCCTTATTAGTTATTCACAGTTGTATCTACAGTTACCTTATCACTTAGGTGTCCAACATTTTTGTATCTTCACTGGATATTTATAAATACTCTGTGAATAGGCTATTTATAACCTTTGTTATTCTATTTGCTCATTTGTGAAACACTATTCTGGATACTAGGGATCTTATGACCTAAGAACTGATATTTCACAGAGGAAAAAATGATCTTTTTAGAACCTCAAAGAAAATGAGCTGCAGGCCATAGTATGTCTGTGATTGCCTCATAAGGCATAGAATGTTATCTTCTGAGAACCAAAAAAGACAAAGAAGCATAGGAATAAGCAGTGGTTCATACTTCAGAGTCCATCCCTGGCATAGCTTCCCCTCCCACTGAGATTTCTTGTCATTAGCTGTTGTGGAAAGGGAACAGATTGAGTGAGTTGTAAATCAAGATTCTCTCACAAATAATTATACAAAAAAGCCCTACCGCAGAGGGTAGCATATCAGTTGCCACAAAGATAAGAATGCTTTATGCAGGCAAAGACCTTTGAACAGCTAAAGACAGAAACCTCTTGATACACATTCAGTACAGTGATCTACTTTATCATTCATTCAAACAGATTTTTCCCCTTCATCAGGGCATCTTTTCATTTTATTTGCTGTTCAAAACACTAAGACACAAAGGATGCTCTTCATCTTGTATGCTACTGAAATGAAATCTTGAGGTAGAAAAGCAGAAAAAAAACCCTTGCCCTAAATTCCCTTTCAATAGAGAAGTGTGAAAAGAGCGAGTGGAGGACACAGAGTTATTGTTGTATGAAAGTCAATTCTGTAAGTGCATAGTCCAAGGCCATCAGCGGTGGCTCCATCACTTCCTCACCCACAGGGAATAATAAGAAAAATCCAAGGAGAAAGGGCTCCACTGAGGGAAATGGTATTTCTTATTGTCCTTCATCTGGATTATCATTAACATCTATGGACACAGCTGTTTCCTTCCTCTGAATAATCCTAAAGTCAATGCCGTAATGTTGGCTTCCCTCTTCCGTCTCCACGGGACCTATTATACAGCACCTCATGCACTACTCTGAGTAAGAGAAATTTCAGATTTATCTTTTCATTGAGCATCAAATGACAAAGTTTTAACTACTTGATTTAGTTTGGCACTGAGAGGATTAAACGTTATTTTTCCATTTTCCTAGCCTTATAAACCTGGTCTTATTGAACTTTTTGAATATGTAGATGTGTTTCAATTACAAGTTATAACCTAAGTTTTATATAGATATAAATATATATGCAGGCAAAGACCTTTGAACATATATGTGTGTGTGTGTGTGTGTGTGTATGTTAGGGAAGGAAATCAAAATCAAAGAGTTTTTAATAAAATACCTGATTAATTTATTACATATGGATTATCATGGGCATTTTAAAATCAGGTTTTTTCTAAACAAGGTGAAAAACTAGGTCATCTAAAAATTCTTCTGATGCAATTTTATGTACTATTGAGTATTTATATACAGAATCATTATTATGTAAGTTGCTCTAGGCTTTATTGTTTAAAGATATCATGTGAGTATTGTTTTAAAAATGCAACGTAAGTAATATGCATTCAATACACAAAAGACCTTGAGCTATGGTGATATTTACTCCAGAGAAAATTTAGTATTAAATTGGTGCTTCCTGGATTCCAACTGAAAGTTTTATTAGTTAAGGTAACAACATTTATGGATACTGATAAGATTGAGACAAAATCATACTGGTTCTCATAGGTTCTAACTAATCCATTAGACCAGTATTAGTCACTGAAAAAAAAAAAAAAGATTTAGTGAGAACCTAAGCAATAAAGCAGTTTCCAGATGTGTTAGCTCTTTGGCAATATAGGGTCACTGCAGAATTTTAAAACATGATCTTATTTGTTCACACACAAAGAACATACTTTGTGTAACTAAGGTTTGATTATATAGCTATATACATTAGTGGATAGTCACTAGATCTTTCAAGGATTTTTTTCCCACAAATAATTCCTCCATTCTCCCTTTGTATAACCCTCCACTTAGAGTTGCCTATAAGCCTGAAAGTTAAAATCTATTTATAATGTTACCACTGGACTGAAATAAAGATAAGACACACATATATATCTTCTACTGAATTTGTTTTACTTTCATGTGAGATGATAAAAAAACTCAAAGCTCATTTATATCACTTGCATTCAAGCAGCACCTATAACATAAAGCATGCTACAGTGCAATTATTCTGGTTCATTTTTTTTCTTTCAGGTATAAAATGTTTTCCTAGTCTAAATTCATGTCATTGTAGTCTTTGCTGAAGGAATTCCCAGATATCTGAAGATAATCTTTCCCATAACATGTCAACTAATGATACAAATACAAATTTCTTTAAGCATATAAAACAAGTAAGATTTTTTAGCTGTTACCACCGATTTCCTGGGTTTAGCAGGGAATGTTTTGTGAGTCTTAGGGGCAAAGTATACTCTGACTTTGGAAGGAAGGTAATTGGTATACTTGTTCTCTCTGAATGATGATTAGCTTGCTTTGATGCTAATATTTGGTATTATATGATTTTGTAAATTGATTTTTTTAAAGCCTCAAGCAAAAGAACCTTGTATTTTTAGTATTAAGTATTTTTAGTATTAAATATTTTTTCCCTCCTAGATATTTCCTTTCTTTAGTCAGTTCCACTTCATGAGAATGGGACTTTAATTCCAATCTCCATATTAGAACTGCACTGGGATGGGCCTCCCCTGTGGCACAGCAATTGAGCGCTGGGTTGAGAAGCTGCCCACAGCCTCTGCAGCGCCAGTTCGATCCCCGGCTGCTCCCCTGCCACTGGAGGAGGGTCCCACATGGCGCGCAGACCTCTCCTGCCGCCCGCTGCTCCCCTCAGCAGTGTACTTCGGTCCTTCTGCCTGCTCTGCCCCCCACTCTGGCTCTGGTGAATTCTCTCACCCTCCCATGCTTCTGACTGTACCCAGTGCTTGTATGAATAAATAAATAAATGGATCTTAAAAAATATATATATATTAAAAAAAAGGCAAAAAAAAAAAAAAGAACTGCACTGGGGCAAGGTCTGTACAGGAGGTCTGAACAGTAAATGGTAGCATGTCAAGGTGTGTTCAACACTATTAGGGACAAAAGACACTTCTTCCCAAGGAAATACAGAAGCTCACACTATGGTCTAAAAGTAGATTTGCCAATATTCAGTGATAAAAAAACAACATAATTATCTGGCTTGCATTTCGTCATCTTCGTTGTCTCAATCTCTTGCTTGCCTGATTTTTAAATCACTAAGAAGTAGATAGAAAAATGGGGGCCTCCCTGGTGGTGCAAGGGGTTAAGCACCATACTATGAGGCAATCTGCAGTCTATGCAGCATGAGTTCAATTCCCAGCCGGCCAGGGAGCAATCCACATGGCAAGGCAGACCTCTCCTGTCTTGCCCGCTGCTCCCCTCAGCAGTGTGTTTCGGTCAGTCTGCCTGTTTTGTTCCCTGCTCTGTCTCTGGTGAATTCTCTCACCCACTGCATCTCTGGCCTGTACCCCAGCTCTTGTATGCATAAATAAATAAATCTTAAAAAAAAAAAGAAAAAGAAAAATGAATGAATTTCAGTTTTAACTGAAATTTAACTGAAATTCAGCACCTATGGGAGATGGTGTCTCCACGTGTTTGTAAAGGTGAAAAGGCAACAGTGCTGTGGATGGTTGGTTAAAGGAGAGCTGCTCCTCAACCAGGCTGAGCATGCTGGTAACATTATTTTATTTTCCTGTATTTTCCCAGTATACCCAGTTGTGTATTGTACATATCCTTGTTTTTAGCTTGGATGGGATTGTGCTATGTATGTTCCTATTATTTTACATACAAGGTAATTGACAATAAAGACATCATGCATTTTTCTACCTTCAAAGACTCAAATTTACAATGAACCTGCAATTTTACATAAACTGAATTTTTTAAAGGTAATCTGTGAAATAACATCACACAAAAAGTTAGTTTTGATAGTTACACTGACCAAGAAAAATAATCATTTTAATATATTATCAGCTAGAATTATAAAGGAAATACATACCCAAACCTTCCGATTCAAATAGACACGTTTCATCTACCCCTAAATCTCGGCACCAGGATAAGAAATTTGCTGTATTGTCTCTGGCAAAAAAGGAGCCTGAGGGTGCACTGGCTTTGCAAGGAATCTTCTTCAAGGGCAGATTCTGGAAAAAAAAAAAATCAAAAAACAAAGAAATCTCACTCCAGTGGAATATCTGCAAAGTCATCACAGTGACACATTTAAATATTTATTATGCAATAAATGTTTTGGAATGACTCCACATCAATAAACAATTTTGTGAAGAACAAAGGAAAGAAAGGAAGTAAAATGCAAGTGAAACTTACTTGGTATTAAAAGATGATGAAAATCTCTGCCTATAAAAATATATACCCTTGTCTTTTTGTATTAAGTAGTAAATATACATACACATATTTAAGTAGTAAACATATTAAATAATTTAAGTAATAAATATATTAAGTAGTAAATATATGTCCCTTCCCTGGTTCAGATTGCCTCTTTTTTTCCTATTATTATTATTAATATTATTTTTCTTCTATTTCATTTAGGTATTCACAGGGAACAGAATACATGACCCAAACTATGCTACTTAGGCATGTGTAAAGGCAATTGGCATCCTAAGATTCAGAAGAACCTTTCACACCACCCCTTCCTAACCACCTTAAAGGAATTTAGCTAGAAAGCCCTTTCCACAACCTCTCTCATAATTTCAATTAATATGAGCTAAAACGTGATATACTAGGGAAAATTTAGTAAGACCAGAATTCAAAGTTGTCTCTGTCGCCCATTGTTTCTGCAAGGTCCAGTAAACAATTATTTACCAAACATTCACTCATCTCTTCCTGTGAACTGTTTTCCTTTTCTTTGAAGGCACAGACTCCTATGCTTCTTTTCAGTTCACAATGGCATGTATACTCATTTTACCTTAATGTCTTCAGGTATCACATGTCATATATAAATAATTAATCTGTTTTTTCTCCTGTTAATCTGATTCATGTCAGTTTAATAATTTCAAGCTGAAAGAACCTAAAAGGGCACAGGAAAATTTCTCCTCCAAACAGTATGCTATCAATATTTCTCACAAAGTATTTATACATGTATTTCTCACTTGTGAAAGAGGAATGAGAGAAGTACTACTACAGTATATGAATATATATATGTTATATATGTAGGTGCTTATGTATGTGTATATATAAAACATATACCTGCATTTTTATGTTTATACACATACATACTCCATGAAAATTAAACAATAAAACACTGAGAGAAACAGAATTGTCTGACATCACAGCCTCCATCACAATATCAAGAAAAGGAAATTAAAACTCTTTTAACAATATTATTCTATTTTCTTCCAAACTATTTCCTTTTAACTTATACCTCTGAATCATATACAGTGTTGTAAACCAATGTAATCTCAAAATTTTTAATTAGAAAAATATAAATAAATAAACAACCACAGTGTACTGCTATATCATATAATATAAAAATAATTCTGGTTGAAATTCTGCTATCTGACCTTGACACATAGTTTTTATAGCCTGCATCCTTGCTCTTCTGAGATAAGAAAATAGATAAGAAAAGGAACTAGGAAGGTGTGAACTTGGACAGACTTTTCTATTAACGGTCTCTCATAAAATTTTAGCCAGGAAATCTCCTTTGGCGTCACACCAGCAAGAATAATCAAATGTTATTGATTATTGAACTCATTTACAAGGATAGTTATATAAAAATAGGAAATAGTGTTACAGTGCATTGGTTAAGTCCTGCTGACATTTATTACTGGAGTTCTTCATGTCCAGGGATACAACTACATCACTTTGTCACTATATCACATAGGCTGTGTCTGTCTTATTCCAATGATGAGTACTTCATCACTGATTGAATTTGGTTTAGGGTAGATATAATAAAATATTCTTGTGATACATAAATATTGTCATAGATAAATACTTCAGGCAGTAAAGAGATACAAATGCTATATGGAATTATCTATATGCATAACTGCTTTCTTATATCAATTACAAAATAATCAAATAACATTTGATAGTATAGCATATCCTTTATGAAATAGTCAAAGACTTCAAAATATTTATACATTCACTTCAAAAATATATACAATAAATATAATAGCATTAGTGCTTAAAAATATATCTACAAGTAGATATGTTGCAGCACTAACTGAAAAAAATAAAAATCTGTTAAGAGGGTTGGTGGATTAATATGTGGTATATAAATACAATAGAATTCTAGGCAATTATTTTAAAAGAATAAAATAAATGTACATGTATTAAATCATAAAGGTGTTCATTACATATTCATATAGAAACAAATAATTTGCTAACATATATATAGCACAATTTCATTTTAAAATACATGTATATAAACACACATAATATAGATGGTCATGATAGACTCAAGTGCATACAAATATTATGTATTGTTAATGTCACTTTATGACAAACTTAAGAAGGATATGAATCAAATTGATAATAATTACCTTTGAGGAAAACGATGAACGCATGCAGTATCATTTAAAATTTTTTTTAACATTCTTTCAAAAGGAGCAGTAGGAATATTGAATGACTTATATTTTATCAATATTTTCAAGATTAAAAACCAAAACAGGTAAATTATGTTAACCAGAACTTTAAAAAAGAAGATTTGCTGGAAAAAACTCCAAGAAATAACTACAAAGCTCTTTTATAATGTCAATAAGGCTTTAAGAAAAGCACATAAATAGAATCAAACACTCCTGGGTGGGAAAAAAAAAACCCTTGCAAATCATCCAAAGAATGATATTCCATACAGGAATTATACCCAAAGAACTATAAAATATTTGACAGGGCTAAGGATGCTAAAGGACATAGGTGCATGGTTTTTATGACACAATATTTTACAATATCCATATTGCCTGAGAGAAACTTGAGATTGATGTGACACTTAATTCACCAAGGGACACATTTTGAGATCATACCCACAAGCAATATGCCCTCAAAAATTATTCATCCTACTATAAGACTTATAAGGAAAATGACTGAGCTTATCAATGAAAATTGCATTTTTCCCATATAAACTTGCAGTCCTACACATCACATTCCAGTGTACAGATATTTTTAATTTATTCATATTAAAAGATACGAAAGTTATTTTAGGACAAGTAAAATGAAAGCTGGCTATTGATACTTCAAAACTTGGGATTTCTCTTTTTTGATTGCTGAGCAATATTCCATTGTGTATATGTACCACATCTTCTTGATCCAGTCATCTATTTTTGGGCATTTGGGTTGTTTCCATAGCTTAACTAATGTAAATAGTTTGCAGCAACATGGATGGAACTGGACGGGATTATGCTTACTGAAATAAGCCAGAACGAAAAAGAAAAATATCGGATGGTCTAGAAAAAGACTAATTATAATAAAGTAAAAATCAAAATCAACAAGCAACTGTAAACCAGAGACACAATACGGGGGTGGGAGTGAGAAGGGAGTAGGATGAAAACAAGGCGGGTGGGAATTGTATGGGGACTAGAACCATGATGAAAGTGCATACATTGTGCAAAAATGAAAAATGATAAAAAAATATATAAAATTAAAAAAAAAACCTTGGGATTTCTCAATGCAGAGTAACTTAGCCTTAACACTGATCTAACAACTTAGTAACTAAGTGATTTGGGGATATTTGTTTCTGTTCTGGAGGTGTTAGATTCAGTACTTCCATGTCTATTTAAGTCAAGAAAACTATAAACTGTGAATGAAAATTTTCTATTGTCATCCAGATGAAATATTTTACTTGGTAAAAATTTTAAAAAGTCATCTTTAGTTCAAATGATCAGTGCATCTTCACACAAAGTACCTATAAAGTCCATCACCTATAATCAGGAGAAAGGCTCTCTGCTCATTGATTAAGAGCAATAGTTTGTAAGGCTTAACATACATCTTGTTGTGCATCAACAGAAAGTCAAAGTGTGAAGGTTCTTCCTATAGTTGCTGTGTCATATACAATTAACAGACTTTGTATTTGAGTCCTCAGTTCCCAAAGTAATACATATCAAAGGTCCTTAAAATCCACTAAATTCTTAGCCTAACAATACATAAAATATTTCCCATTATTAGGAAAAGCATAAATAAAAGTTTTAAGTCACACCTGAAAACTGTTTTTTGAAAGTTAATGAATATGGAATAATGAGCAGAGAATAATCACCAAGCCGATCTGAGTTTGGGTAGAAATTTCAGTTCACTCACTTACTAACAAGAGACATGCTACTGTACTACAGATTCCATGGTGTGGGATTCAATATTTTGTGTTAGTAAAATGAGAAATTACTACTAATAAGTCACTGGGATCATGTGAAAGTAGTGAATGGGGTGTAAATGAACTTTTCTAATAGCAAGTCTAATGATTATCTTTTATGACTCAGCAGGATTAACTACACATGTGTATTTGTGGCCCCTAAGAGAGTTATAGATTGGACAATTAACTTACAAGTGATTAACATACATACAACAGAATATGGATTCCAAGAATACCAACCCCCCCCCACACACACACACCACACACACACTTCCTTTAGGCAACAACCAAATTAGTTTGCAATAAAAAGAAATAATTTAAATTTAATTCTAAAGGCTTTTAATTCAATCCATGTGTCTTAGGTTAATCACCTGCTAGGGTTTTGGATTCCAATTATCTGAGTTCAAATTCAGTTACATCACCTTCTTGCTATGATACTTTGGGCAAATTACTTAATGTTTTTTTGCCTCTGTCTTCTTTCAGTGCACAGCAAAAACAATGGTTTCATTGACTATGCATATGTGAGGACTAATAGAATAATGTAATTTGAGTATAGAGGTAAGTGCTCAATGAAGGTTATTTACTAACATACTCACCATCTTAAACAGAATACTGAATCCCTGTTCTAATTTCTTGCAAACATTTCATTTTTTTCTGCTATGGCTATAAGAACACAAGAAAAAAATTGGCAAACAATCTACTTCTATCTTCACCCTAAAATTAAACTTCATTTTTAGAATAGTTTTCTTACAGAATGTTCTACAATGATGGAAATGATTTATATTTGTGCTACCCATTATAGTAACTACTAGTAACACTTGGATATTGAGCACTTGAACTGTGATGAATGTGACT